GTATCATTGTAAAATGAGTTGAATATATCAGTATATGATTGATAGCCAACACGTGCTTGAATTTTATGCGGACAAACATTTTCAGTTGAGTTGCAACTAATTAGACAAAAATGAATTATTTTTTTTTTTAAAACAAAAAAAAAAACAAATGTAATCAAAAAAAAATAAATAAATATTATATAATTATTTTTTTTTTACTAATCAAATACAATAATTTAATTTAATACATGATTATGTTGTTCATCATAATGATGTTGATATTATAATAAATTTATTTAATTTGAAAAATTAAGCAAACAAACAAACAAATAAATTAATTATACTATTAATTGACAAAGTTTTTATTTTAAAAAAAATAAATAAATAAAATTAACTAGCTAAATATCTAGCACTTACTAGACTACATGAGCCGATGTTAATATCCAATAGTCGTTTATAATAGCACCGGAACCCAAACCGAAACCTCCTTTTTCTCTTAATAATAATAATATAGTATTAGAAAAATATAGCTTTAATATATGCTTTAATTTTGTTTATTATATATATATATATATATATCAAATTAAATTATATAAATCATATTAGTAGTCATAATAGTTTTTTGTTGTTGAGTGTGTGTACTCAGTGGGGGAGGAGTAAAATACTAGAAGGATTATTGGAATTTCCACTAAATTACCCCACCCAATACCCCCCCAGATTTTTTGAGAAATTTGTAAATTTTACCCCAACCCTGATATATATATATATATATATATATCAAATAAATTCCCAATAAATGCCCAACAAATTACTAATAAATTCCAAATAAATTCCCACTAAATTTTCAATAAATTGCCACAATAAATTATCACCCCTCACTCTGATTATAACAATCCTAATATTATATATATATATATATATATATTGTAATTTATAATAAATATTAAATCAAATAACTAACTCATTAGATAGCTTGTCGACATGCTTAACCAATACTGATACCAAATAGTTCATATCATCCCTGCGCCCGGGCCTACCATTCCTGATACGACTACTACTACTGACACCAGTAAATGTGTTGTCGGAAAATGATTTATGAAATCTGAAACACTGGTCGTCCATTTCGGGCGATTCACCGGTTATACCGCATTTCGGGTCATCGCTAACACCGGGATAGACACCGATACGGGTGTGTTGTTGAACAGTGTATACACTGTTAATCAAACATAATAATAATAATAATACTAATAATACAATTAATTTAATATTATTATTAATCATTATTAATAATAATAATTAATATTAATAATCGATATTAATATAGGAAACTAAAATATATATTATATAATTTGTATAATTAATATAACTATATTATATATAAAAAAATAAATAATTTTCACTGATTTTTTATATGTTATTGTATAATATATTTAAATTATTTTAAAAAAAATATTAAATATGATAACTTATATCATATTAAATGCAATTACATTTTATTATAATATTTCACACACAAAAAAAATATTATGAAAGTTATTTAGCAATCATATTAAATGAAAAATTGTTTTTTACTTAAATTACATTTAGATTAAATTTAAAATAAATTAAAATAAAAATATTTTTAAAAAATAATATATATATACGATATCTTTTAAAAGTAATAATAGATTTTTTTTAGTTTTTTTAGTTTAATATTATTTTATTATTAATCTAATATGACATATAACTAAATTTTAATTAAATAATTGAGTATTAATTATATAGTATTTAAAATAATTTAGTAAAAAAATTAATTAAAATTTTTTATATACTATTAGTATTATATACAATACAAAAAAGTTAATTTCAATTAAAAAATATTAACACTTATTAATAAATTGTATATAATATCAACTTTTTTTTGGTACAATTATAATTGAATAAAAAAATTTTGATAAATTAAAATTAATACTAAATTAATAATTTAAAAAAATATTTGATAAAAATAAAAAAAAGTCAAGCATTTATATTATATTTCATTTTATTATATTTTAATATAAAAAAATTTTAATAAAGTAATACTATTAAAACTTATTTAATAATTAAGCAAAAAAAAGAAATATTTTTAATAACTAATAGTTTTACTAAAAATATAATTATAATATATATATAAATTAAAATTATATTTAATAGTGTTATATATAGTATAAATAAAAAACAAATAAAATCTACTGGGTACTATTTCTAATAACATCAATAATCCAATCAATTTTATATGAAACACGTTGCCAATAGATTGACGCATCCATACTATTGTACATACAGTTGTCATCCTGTCTATCCGGTCGAAAGTCATCCCATTCAAAATGACTGGCCACACCAATTAGGACTGCCCTACCACCGACATACTGTACCAATGGACCACCAGAGTCACCCTTTATTTTTTAGTTGTTGTTGTTGTTGTTGAGTATAAACATTCATTTACAACATAATATATATATATATATACCTATCATACCTTACATAGAGCGGTACCATTTTTGATACTGGGATACAGTTTAGCCCTAACAACCTGACTGAGCGTACGATTAGTTCGATCCGACGCCAGCAAACGTACGTAGCCTAGTGGCCAACCAGCAATCGGTAGAGTACCAGAATTGTCGATTACACCCCAACCGGCCATCAGTGCCAATTCGGGACTAGTGTTTACAATCATGGGCTCCGGTAGACAAATCTTATTGATCAGGCGTTCCTCATCATCATCATAGACTAGTGGACGATCTACACGTAACAGTGCCATATCGCCGGGATTCAGTAGCGTATAGTTAATAGTAAAATCGGGATGTCTATGTATAGCTGTTACCGTATAAATTCTACCAATATTATCGGTGTCGGGTTGGGGACGTGGGTTGACTATCTCATCAAATGACTGATAACCTACACGTGCTGTTACTATGGGTGGACATTCAAATAGATTTGTGTTGCATCTATTAAACAAATAAATATATATATATATATCAATTAAAAAAAAAATATTTTTTTTGCTAAAAAATATTTAGTATTTCTAATAGTTAATAATTATTATATATATATATATATATATATATTAAAAAATTAATTAATTAATTATAAAAGTTAATAATAATTAACTAGCTAAATTTTTTTTTACATAACTAGATGAGCAGCTGTCAATATCCAATAGGTGTTTATGACTGAACCGGTACCCATTGTTGTTGTTGATCTTGCGATTGAGTTATAGTTAATAATTGAATTATTTTATTAATATTAATTTTATAGATAAAAAATTGTATTATATTTACAATAATATACTGTATATTTTATTAAATATATTGTATTATTAAATAATATATTTACAGTTGAGTATAATAATGAAAATACAATATAAATATAATATTGTATATACAGTGATATATTTTATTTTAATTTTTTTTTAAAAATCATATATAAAGTACATACCTTATAGAGTTTTTGTAAACCAATTTTACATATAATTGTACCAAAAAGTTCATCTCACCCCTGAGCCCTGGTCTACCGTTTCTAATACGACTGTCACCGGATGATGATGTGTCGGCAAATCTATTGTGAAATCTGAAACATTGGCCATTCAATTGGGGCGATTCACGGGTTATACCGCACTCGTGGTCATCGCTAACACCGGGATAGATACCTATGCGTGCGTGTATAGAGTAAACACTTGATGTCAAAAGTAATAATAATAATAATAATACAGAAATTTTAATATTCATTATAATTATATTACAAATATATAATATATTTAAAATACAATTTATAATTAAATATATATATAAAATTATATCATTTAATAAATTATATAGGTGTGGTTATTTATTTTTATTTTTTGATTAAATTTTAAAATACTTTTATTGTACAGTATATTAGTTAATATTAAATTTATTTAGTAAAATTAATGAAAATAAAAATTTTGTATCAATTATTTTTATAATAAATAAAATGTTCTTAAATTACATTTTAATGAAATATCTATTATTATACTATAAATAACTAATATTTTCTGCTACTAATATTTTAAGTAATTATTAATTTTATTCAAAAAAAATCTCAATTTTATTAATAATTTAGTCTAAATTTTATTTAATACAAATTTTTATAGTAATAATTTTTTTTTATATAAATTATAATATTATACAAAATAGTGCACATAAAACTGTACATTTTAGTAGGTATATAAAAGTATATAAAATAGTAGATCAAAATAGTATACAATAACAAATAATCATAATTTTATATAATTATAACTTATATAAAACTGCATATATATAAAAACATAATTTTCAAATTACAATAATATTGTATTAAAAGCAACTAATTGTACTTGTTTATAAAGTATAACTAAATATATATATATATAATTTTTTGTAATATATAATTTACAAAATATGCATATATATAAATTATATTAATAAATTTTTATTACAAAAAAATATCATTAAAAAATTAATTTGATACATGCATAGTTTATTAATGTAATTCAATAATAGCAATAATAACATAATAGTTTAGAAATGTTTTAAACTTTTAAAATTTTATCTAATATTTATTATTTTTTTTTTAAATTCTCCATGTTTGATTATTATGTTGAAAATTTATCAATATTATTTATCAATATCTACTACAGTGACAATAATTTGGTAAAATATTTAAAACTATTAAGCTATAAAAAAATAATTCAGATACTTATAAATATTTAACATTAAATAATCTATGAATTATTAGGAGTACTACTACTACTACTATATTTAATTAACAACAAAATTAACTATAAATTATAATAATTAATTCTCAGCACTTGTTTGTTATCACTGGCTACCGGTGCCGGCAATGATGTATACCACGTACAGGTGGGTCAGTACACAGGTATTAGCGATTTGGATGAATGCGGCAAAAGTCGCGAATCGCAACTAATGTCCGACCAGTGTTTCCGATTTCATCGCTGGCCACAAATGAATGGCCAGTTGGCCAGTGGCCGGTTCGCTAGGCCAGGCGATATGAACTTTTTGGCATTGTTGTATATTAACAATGGTACCGAGTAAGTGTATATTTGTATACATTGTTGCAGTATATATTTATTTATAATTTGTATAAATATTTATATAAATATTTATTTTTTTATTATTAATTATAAATTAGTTTTAATTTAACAATTAAATTATAAACAATTATTATTATTATTATTATATTTTTATGTATTGATATTAATTATTTTGTTTTATATTATTATTATGTTTTAATAATTATTTATATTAATATTATTATTATTATATTTACAGATTTAGCAATAGGTTAACAGTATATAATTACTATAATATAAGTTATTATACTATTACTTATTAGTATTAGCATAATAAATTTATATACTATAATAATTATATACTGTATAATTTATATTTTTAAATTTCTTATAAATAATTGAGAAAAAAAAATATTATAAACAAAAAATATGATGAAACAAAAAAAATAGCACTTTATGATTTTTGTGCACTAGTATGTATGGGTGTGTGTGTGTGTGTGGGTGAGTGGGTGTATATAATTAAATTTATATATATATATCTAATTAATAGATATCTATCGCATTGTTCGGCAATCATACTCAATAGGGAATGGCTATTGACGGCAGCCCATTGTATTTAGTAAATAATTTTTTTTGTATAGTACCTGTATCATTTTTATTTTTGTGACAATTATTAATTAATTTTTTTTAATATACACTGTGCCACCTACTGTATAAGCTGCCCATCTAATGAAACTGGTTGTCCACTTAACCTATGGATACTGGCCGGCCTGACCGAAGGTCTGGTCTATGTTGATAATAATTGGGATAGTATAGCCAAATATCCAGTGATCGGACAATACCCGCATCCCGATGCCGACTGGGCGGCCAACAGTAGTCGCAACGATCTGGCACTGTTACGTGTCAGTCCGTGGATGCCGATTGGCGGCCAACTAATCAATTCGGTATGTCTGCCAAAGTCGGGTATTCTGAATACTAGGCCCGAGTACGCCATGATGTCCGGCTGGGGTTTTATCGATCGTCAGGGCTCGGACTCGGACTGGGCACACGGTATTGCCTATACCCGGATAAAACCAGCCGATCCGGACGTTGACGCCGCCGACGATAGACTACTAATTATGTCATACATTGATCCCATTGGCACCGGTGGCTATGTTTGCGCTGTTAGTTTGTTGTTTGTTTTTATATCACTTATTTAGTTGACTGTATATTCAAAATCATAATTTTTTACTGAACTAAAAAAACTGAGAACAGGGAGATTCAGGCGGTCCACTTGTCCAGTACGTGAATGGCCGGGCAGTCCTAATTGGAGTACACGCCGGATCAGCTGATCCGCCCGATTATCACGGTGATTGTGCATCAAATACTACCGAAGCCCATATGGGTTGGACACGTATATCAATGTATATGGACTGGTTGGTAGATGTCATACATAATAGCACCGGTGATGGTGGTGGTGGTGGTGGTGGTGATGATGTTAATAATGATGATAAATCAAAATTATTATGAGTGAAACCAACCCTGTTTTTATTGGGGGGGGGGGGGGTCCAAAACCTTAAATATATATTTATTTATTTTTATTAATATTTATTAGTTTTAATTTAACGATTAAATTATTAACAATTATTATTATTATTATATATTTTTTTATGTATTGGTATTAAATTATTTTGTTTTATATTATTAATATTTATTTTTTAATTATTTATATTAATATTATTATAATTACAGGTTTAGCAATAGGTTACAGTATATAATTACGAAATAATAATTATTTATTGAATAATTTATATTTTTAAATTTTTTTTATAAATAATTGAGAAAAAAATATTATAAACAAAAAAATAAATTATAATATTTCATAAAATTACTATATTTTATCTAAAAAAAACAAAAAATTACAATTGATTTTATTTGTACCCACAAAAAAAATAATAATAATTAAATATATATACAAACTAATTTTATATTTGTAATTTTTATTTTCAGTATAAAATTGAGCTAAAAATAATTTTATTTTTTGTTGATTTAAAAATAAAATAAAAAGTTTTAAATTACAGTACAGTTTAGTTTCAATAAATTAATTTTACAATTAATAGTTACTCATCATTATTACTAACTGATTGATGATAACTTTGTTCAACAATCACTACATTATGTTTATTATTATTATTTTTTTTATTATCCTTGGCTCTGGTATTCCGGTGCTTAGTAGTAGTGGTAGTAGTAGTAGTAGTATTGACCACCCGTTTCCCATTAGCTAAACTTTTAGTTGAATATATAACTTTAGGCAGTCCTCTACCCGTTTGTTTAATGACAATAGTTTTGCTAATATTATTATTATTATTTACATTATCTGTGCGCACCTGTAGCTTAAACTTGCCGTCCACTCCTCCCGCCTCTCCGCTTCCTTTCCGGATAACAACAACTGACTGTTTGCTGCTATCATCGTTACCATCATCTTCTTCAGTAGAGTTTGTTGGCAGCCATTTTGACGGCCACTTTGATGACATCAATTGAAATTTCTGGCGAAACTTATCGATAGTTTCGACTAAACTGTTGTTGTCGTCGTCTTTATCTACAACATCCCTTTCCTTACCATCCCTTTCCTTATCATCCCTTTTCTTATGGACACCAATTGTATGTGTCGTCATAGTTGTATCGGTCGAGACTACAGTAGTTTCAGTTGTTTTTGTATCAAAATCTATCTGATATTAGAAACAAATTTTTTTTTAAATTTTATTATATGAAAAACTAAATAAATAAAATTATATTCATAATAATAATAATAATTTTATGTATTGAATAAAATAATAATAATAATAAACTATTATTAAATGTTGATCATTGTTGTTGTCATTATTAGCACCGGTAGGTTTGCTATCAATTTTTTTATATTACCGTCATCATCACCATTATCAATATTATCATTTTAACCATGGTTAAAACAATTTTTTTTTATTTATATACCTCAAATGCCATATCAATGTGATCCAGTATATCTGATTGGACAGTAGTAGTAGTAGTTTTTTTACTTTTTTTCAGGGCGTATCCCATAATATTAAATGTAACTAGTACAATTAATATATTAATTATGATAATGTTAACTAAAGATAAAACGGTAGCCATATTATAGTAATTTATATTTTTTTCAATGTTTTGATATATGATATATATTATTAAATATTAATTAATTAATGCAACAAATTAATTAATTAATTTTTAAGATATCTTAATATTATATTAATATAAAATATATAAACACATTATAAATAGAAATTTGAAAAATATCACTTTATTTTCATCATATATACTGTATATATATATTTATTTAAATCTAAAAAAATTATTTTTTAATAATAGCGTTAAAAATAATTAACAATATTTTTTGTTGTTGTCATATAAATTAAATACAAATATATATATATCAAGTATATATAAATCAATTATACAGTTTGCTTGTTGTGTCAATCGTAAGTTAAAAGAGAGAGAGAAAAATAAAATAAATAATACTTATTAAATAAATAATTATAATTTTTTTTAAAAAAAAACATCATTAAAAAACTTTAAATATATATATTTAAAAAAAAAATTATTACTAAATTGTCAATTAAAAAAAACAAACAAATATTGAGACACAAAAATGACTATCAATTTCTAATACAATTAATATTAATAATAATAATAATAATAATAATAATAATAATAATAATAATAATAATAATAATAATACAGTAGTTGTTAGTTGATTGTCGATTGTATTATAATTTTGTTGATTATTTAGAAGAAAAAAAATTATTATTAATAATAATAAAATAAATAAATATTTTTTTTCAACAACAAAAAATCTAAAAATCAAATCAACGATGAAATCACTTTCATATAGACTTGTCTGACCAGACCGGCGTTGGCCGACATCATACCTAATAGCGACGATTTGAACGACGATATGACTGGTATTAGAGGAACTGACGATACACTGGCCGCCGCCGCTGCCGTTGCCGACGGTACCGATATGGCCGCATGAAACAAATATTCGTGAAGCATCATGGCGGCCATGGCCAGCGGTACCAGTACGACAACAATGGTGGTCAACAGCGCCATCAACAGTATCAGTGCCGACATTGCAATCACAATAATCATCTGCAAAGTAGTCGGCGTTAGGGCAGCGTTTCGTACACGACTACCGCGTCCATTGTCCAGCCGTACGGCCAGATTACGTGGTCGGCCTTTGACAGCCGACTCTAGATTCTGGACCAGTTTGGCATTCATGTCGACAGTGCCCAGTGTCAGCGACAGCTGCCGTTCCGGGTTTTCCGTACAAACATCGATAGCTTTGACAATCAATTTTTCGGTAATCTGCGAGACATCGGTCAACACCAGTGACGATAGGCTGGGCGACTGGACTATCTGTTTCAATGATAGTTCACTGATCGTAAAAAACCATTGGAGGTGTAGGTGCCGTAGCGATGATAACTTGGACAACGATGCTATACCGGTATCACTGATTAGGCCATTGCCTTAAAATAATTAAGAAAATAATTACTAATTGTTATAGTTTTGTGTATGAAATACTATACCTGTAATCGTTAGCTCCTCGAGCTTCGGGCACAGTGTAGACAACCGGTCCAATGATTTGTCGCTCAGCCGTAGGTCCCATTCGTAGTCGCCAGTAATGGCCAATTGCCGTAAATCCCGTGAATTGCGCAACATTGCCGCAAATTGGCGCTCGTCGACGGCCGATATCATCTCATAGCAGCGGATCTGCTCCAAGACAAGTGTCCTGAGCTCCAGGTGGCCAATATCGGACAGATAGTCCACAGGACGTTCATCATCCATATAGTAGTGTAGTTCCAGATGATCGATACGGGTCATCAGTTTTAGCTGATCAAGCGGTCCGAGCATACCGAAAATGGACAGTCGTTTCAAGTGTTTACCGTTACCGTTGACTATATGGCCGAGCAGGCTGTCCAGTTTTTCACCGCTCGATAAATCGCCGCACACTAGACTCTCGATTCGGCTACCAATTTGCCGAATACAGGCGGCCAGCCGAGGATTGTCGCCAATATCAAGATGTTTGAGTTGATTGCTGGCATCGATAACTTTTGTCAGATCTTCAGTGGCCAGTTGGCACTGTCGGAGGGTCAGTGATGTTAGATTATGGAAGGCCTGAGTCAATAGGTGCCAGCCGTAGCCTAAATAATATAATGTGAATATTAATATATATATATATAAACTAAATTAAAATTAAATATATTATTTAATTTATATATATATATATAATAAAATAAATAAAAAATATATAAAAACGCATAATAAAGCAAATTATTATTAATGATTATTAACTAATGATTATAACTAACTGTTTATTGTATTAATAAATTAACATTTTTTTCATAGATTAGTTTAGATATTGATTATTATTATTATTTTTTTTAGTATAAAAAAATGTGAAAATAAAGCATTAAAATAATTAAAAAAAAAAACTATCAAAACAAAATCGATATCAAATTATTAGTAATCAATATATATATATATATATATATATATTTATCAATTAAATCAAAAATATTCTCTACAATTATAGCAATAATAATAATAAAAAATATTTTTTTAATTAATTAAACTAAATATTATTTATTAAATACAGTCGTTAACTATACGATCGGTAATTTTAATTTTATAAAAATATCTATAACTTAATTAAAAGTTTATATTTGATCATGGTGACTTTAAATATTTTACTACATATTACTCTATAATATAGAGTCTATATAAAGTATAATATAAACATTTACGTAAAACATTTGATTTTAATATTATTATTATTATTATTAACATTGATAAAAATCTATAAATATCTAATAAAATATATAATAATCATAATAGAAATGTATAGTTAAAATTAAAAACTTTTTCGTTAGTGTTTATTAAATTTTAATAATTTATTACTTTTTTTATAATTAAAAAAAATAATAATAATTATCAGTAAAACTTAGTTTTTCAAAAAAAAAAAATTAATAAATAAAATATAATAAATAATATTTAAAATTTATAACTTACCGGACAGTCGATTAAAAATTAAATGATCGTTATTATCGTCAATGATTAGTCTATTATTATTATCACTATTATTATTATTAGTAGTAGTAGTAATACAATAACATGGTGGGTCATTGGCCGGTCTAGTATAGTCCACATACCGGTGCTGACACAGTAAACAGTTGCTTCTGTCGCCTAGACTGTCGATAATACGTATATTACCACTACTACTACTACTACCATTGTCTTGGATCAGGCAGCTGGCAGTGCCCAGACTGGTAAACATTAAAATATCGGACAGTTGGCTAATATTGGAAATGGTTAGTTCGGTAATGTTGTGAAACTTGTTGAACATAAAACTGAACAACAGATAGTCTATACGTGGTTTGCTTATGGATACATGTATACGGCTATGGATACGGCTGCCGGTGCCGCTACCGGTGCTGCTGCTGTGATGATGGTTATGTTGTTCACTGTTATCGGCGGCTATGATAATCATGTTCAGCGACTGTTGGCCGTTAAACAGTCTGTCGACAGCCCATTGCCATCGATGGCATACCAGCCGACAGCTAAGTTTGTCCCGTATGGACAGGTAGTCGACGATTTGTAGCAAACAGTCTGTATCTACCAACGATTCAATATTTTTGTCCATTGGACGGGCATTTACTGGTATGTACTGTACTAATTGATACTTAACAGTGTCGGGGGGGTACTATCTGTTAAAAATTTTTTTTTTTTATATATAAAAAAATCAATTATTAATATTTATACAGCACTTGATTAACAACAAAATAATAATAACTTATAATTTTAATTTATTTATTCAATAACAACACAACAAAAAAATAACAATTAGTATACAAAATAAATAAATATATATATATTAATAAAAATATGGGAATTTTACACAAGTATTTTATTTCATTATTATTAGTAATTTATATATATATATATATATATTATATATATATTGTATATTAAAAACTACTAAAGTTTTTTAATGTTTATAAAACATAAATACTTTATGGAGAAACTATTTATAATGTAAATGTGATTCAAAATAAATAAACTAATAATAATAATAATACTATACCTCCAAAAAAAAATCAATGATTTTTGTTTCACTTTAAATAATATATTCAATTAATTTAGTCAAATTGTTAATATAGTGTATTAACAATAATAATAATAATAATAATAACAATACTAAAGTGTATATATTTTAAATGTTTAACAAAATAATACACAAACAAAAAAATCTTTTTTAGCTAAAAAAAACAAGTGTATAGAATAGTAGTTTTTATTAAAAAACTTTTTATATATATTATTTTTTTTGAGACTAAAACAAGTGTTTTTCAAATAAAATAAAATAACTATATAAAAGTGCTTACGTGAGAAAATGTGACTTGCAACATTTTCCCAAAAATATATATTACACTAAGTTTAACTTTCAAATATAATTTTTAAGATATATATATATATATATATACAGTATATGATACCTAACTTTTCACTGGTATTACTATGGCATATGACTAGACATTAAGGCGGGTAATATTGAGTTAGTTAGTGAGTGTGTGTGTGTGTGTGTGTGAGAGAGAGAGAGAGAGAGAGTAAGTGTTTATATCTGTATAGGTATGGGTTTAGGTATGTATGTGTATGTGTATGTGTATGTATGTGTATGTATGTGTATGTATGTGTATGTATGTGTATATATGTGTATGTGTATGTGTATGTGTATGTGTATGTGTATGTGTATGTGTATGTGTATGTGTATGTGTATGTGTATGTGTATGTGTATGTGTATGTGTATGTGTATGTATGCGTATGTGAGTGTATGTATGCATATGTGTGTGTCTGTTTGTATATATATATATATGACACGTGTGACACTGTGTATGTATGTGTGTGTGAAAGAGAGAGAAAGAGAGAGAGAGAGAGAGAGAGAGAGAGAGAGAGAGAGAGAGAGAGAGAGAGAGAGAGAGTATAGTATAGTATAGATAAAGATAGAGATCAATACTAAATAAAATGAATTCTTTGTATTTTCTATTATATATAAATGAATACATTATATAACAACAAATAAATTTATTTAATATGATTTAAATTTTCAAAAAAAAATATTTTAATTATTTTTTCGAAACAAAAATCTTATATTTAAATAATATTTTTGTTTTTTTAAGAATCTGTTTACGATTTTTTTTGTCAAAGAAAATAATAATAATAATAATAATTAAAACTGTTTATCAGGTTATTTGTTAAACTATAGCTATTGATATATTGATATTTATATTATTAATATACAGTATAAACCATAAAACTTTTACTACTTAAAAATACTATTTACAGTAAATGCTAATATATTTTGTAAACAACATTAACAATAAGATATATCTCATAAAATATTTATTAAAAAAAAAATTTCAATGTCACTATAATAATAATTGTTACCTCAAAAAAAATTAATAATAATAATACTAATACTAAAATAATAATTGTAAATAAAGTAAATTAAATATGTATTAGCTATAGTAGTTATATACACACACACATATATATATATACTGTATATATATATATATGTATAGCTTAAATGAAAGTTGTTTAATAGTTAAATAATTATTAATAGATTTGTTAATTTTTTTATATACTAGTATATAGTACTTCATAAATATAATAAATATATATAAAAACAAATGTGTGATTTAAAAATTAAAATAAAAGATAATTTTTGATAACAAAAAAAACTATACAAAAAAAACTTCTACAATATTTTTAATAAATGTATTACAATTTTTTTTTATAAAAAAAATATTGTATTAATCTTTCAAAAAATCTAATGAAACTTGAAATCCTTGATTTAATTATCGCAATCATTATTATAATAATTATTTATGTTTTATATTGAATGCACTCAAAATCATTTTTTTAAAATATATATTTTTTTTAAAAATAAAAATTGTTGTTTTTTATATAGTTACTAATTATATAAATGCATTTAATAGTAAAAATAATTTTTATATGAAAATAATCGAAAGAAAAAATTTTGTTTGCAAATAATATTTTTTTAAAAAAAAATTAATTTATTATATTATAATTAGAAGTTTTATTAGATAAATAAAATTATAAAATAATAATAATAATAAAATTGTTACTGTATTTACTACTTAAAAAAATATCTGATCCTGATAAAAATCAATAATTTTTTTTTATTTAATTTTGAAAATATAAATATTTATTCAATTAAAACAATAATAATAAAAAAAATTATTATCAATTTAGTAATTAATCATCATAAAAATATTGTTTGTGAAAATAATTGAAAATTTTGTATTGCATTTAAATTGCATAAAATTTATTTAAAATGTTTGCAATTTTTTTTATGTATAAACACAATAAAAATATTACATATATATTATGCAATTATAATGAGACTGAAATTTTTATTTAACAAAAAAATTATTATTATAAAAGTTACTAATAAAATATCATAATTTTTTGTTTAAAAAAAATTTTTTTTTGATTGATAATTAATTATTAGTAATTAGATATTTATTTATCATAATTTTTACTAATACTAAAACAAAATTTTTTTTTATTATTTAAACTACAATTTAATATAGTAATAAAATATTGTTCATTGGAAGTAATATATAAGTTATAATACTAATAAATATTATTATCATTGTCTAGTAATAATAATAATATTTTTTTTCCATATCAATTAGCATATCATATGATAAATCTATAACTATTACAACAACAAAATTTTCAAATAGTTTGACAATGATAACAACAGTTTTTATAAGTTATTACAAAAATTCAATAATAATAAATAATATTTTTTTTGAAAAAAAAATAATATATTAGACAAACATGAAATTAACAAAATAGTTGTTTTTTTTAATTTATATAATATTAGGCAACAATTTTGTGTATGTGGGACTATACTATATTTTTTTTGGTTTAAAAAAACAATAATTTATCATAGTACATTTCTAGTATAATTAATTAATTAATTAATTATTATTATTACATATTTTATTAATTAGTCAATTAGTACTGTCCAATTAAATAATTTTAAATATTATACTGGTATTAGATATGATAAAATATAGTTAAAATATGTAATTCATATTATATATATATATATATATATAAATTATAAATCGTATGATTATTATATATTGCGATTAATAAAAAAAAAATATTTACCTTATAAGTAAATCAATTGTTTTCAATAGGGGGGTGGGGTGGCTATCAATGATGAAACATTTTACAAATTATTTATATATATACACACACAAACACACACATTACTATTGTATTAATCATATCACTGTTAATCTATAACATAATTTAACAATAACAACAAATCAAAATGTATAAACTCATTTAATATTGTATATATAATTTTAATAATAACATTTATTAAATTTATTTTTGATATATGTTTGTGTGTGTGTGTTGTTATAGTAGTAGTAGTAGTAGTAGTAGTAGTGTCAGTAATAATTGTGTTTAAACTGATGGAAAATAAACAAAGAGTGTATGATTTCGGAGAAATGTTTGGAGAGAGAGAGAGAGAGTTAACATAGTGAGGATAGGGAGGGTTATGGTTAGGGATATATACTGGTCAAGGATTTTAGATGCAATCCCCAGCAAAAATGTGTGTTTGTATCTAATAATAGGTACACTACGAGTGTGTGTGTGTGAGTCTCTATGTATGTATGTGTGTGTGTGTGTGTATGTATATATATATATATGTATATATATGTGTGTGTGTGTATGTATGTATGTATGTATGTGTGTTTGTATGTATGTATGTATGTGTGTGTATGTGTGTGTATGTGTGTGTATGTATGTGTGAGTGTATGTGTGTGTATGTATATATATATATATGTGTGTGTATGTGTGGTATAATTTATTAAAAATATGATACTATGTTGTATTTGAAGGCCATATACTGTATATATATTAGTGAATAACTCGTTTATAATATATTTAATATCTATTTATTTATTATATATATATATATATATATCTCTTTCTTATGTATAGAAACTCATAGATGCATATCAATTGAAATGATTCACTATTTATCTAAAATGTAAAGTAATTTTTTTAGTAGTTTTTTATATATATATCTATTTTTGTGAAATCGTTTTTTTTTGTTGCAAAAATATATTGTATAATAATAATAATAATAATTATTATTATTATTATTATTATATTCAAGATTATTAGATATGCATTAAGTAGTTTTAAGGCACTAAAATTAAAAAAATAATAAATAAATTACTATTTAACTAAAAAACAAATATATTAATAAAAAATTTAAATTAATTATATAAAAATTTTTAGTATATAAGCAATATATTAATCAAATTTGACTGAAATTATTTAATTATTTTTTTTAAAAAATAATAACAAAAAATCTTAATAATCATAACAAAAAAATTTAATAATAATAATAATAATCAATAACATTATTTTTTCTGATTATTGCAAACATTTTACAAATAATTAAATGTAAAAAAATTAGTATTAATAAATACAGCTATGTAATAATTATGTTATTTTATAAATTTATAATATAATTATTGCAAAATTATTATTTCATCATTCACATAATTATTAGTTTTTTATAATTAGTTTTTTTYAAAAAAATAAGTTCAATCCATACAAATTATTATTTATAAATATTTAATTAAATTTAAAACACTATAT